GGTTTTTGGTGCGACCGCATTTATAAGCAGAGCCTCATTAAAATTATTTCTCAAATTTTTTAGACTTATGGTAAAAACATAGTGGAGCGGCGAGCAAAGCGAAGAGCTAGCATCGAAAAAAGCTTCAATTACAAACGTGTATGTACGCTTTGCCGCTGTGGTGTAGTGGTAAGCAGTGCGCGCATTCACTCATCAGCACCTGGGTTCAAATCCTGGTCAAAGCAACATCGCCTTCCGCTTAAGGCAAACGGACGCAAATTACGACTGGGAACAACAACAACAACAACAACGGCTGAGAATATCATTCCCACGACAACCGGTTCTAGGTTCCGGACGGACTAGGGTTTTTCCCAAACAAGGGCTGGGCATTGAGCCCAACCCGGACCAGAAATCTACTTCTGCTGTGTCTGCCGGAGACAACTTCACTCCACTTTGGTTAGGTGCAACATCTGTAATGGATGGAGTCACCTGAGAATCTCCTCGGGTATTAGGTCTCTGTTGTTGGTTAGGTTGCTGTTGTTGTTGTTGTAGCGGCTACAACAACCCCGCCCAGATCGATTGATATCTCAGTCGTTGTTGTTGTTGTTGTAGCAGCATACAAATTCCCCAAAGACATTTTGGGGAGTGTTGCTGGAGTGACAGTCCTTGGCCAGATATAAATCTGGGTCGTTCCGGTTACGTAGACCCGACTGTCGTGGGAACGATAAATCTGGGTCGTTCCGGTTACGTAGACCCGACTGTCGTGGGAACGTCTCAGTCGTTGTCGTCAAGTTCCCTTAACGGCCGCCCTAAGAAGCGTGCAGCCTAAATAGGGTCGGTCCACAGGCACAAATGCGTTAGGGTTGTCGGGTTTTCCGGGCATACGAAGAGATGTTTCCGAGTCATGGGGTGTCTCTCCGCATGCCGGACACTCATTTGGTACATCTGCGTTTAGTCTGCTTTGGTACGAGTGTAACCTGCTACTGCAGTATCCAGAGCGAAGTTGGGCTAATATGGTTCTAGTCTCCCGAGGCAGATGAAGCTGCGTCTCGTCAATGTCCGGTGGTTGTGCGCCCAGAACGGCATTCACAGGTCTGAAGTCTACATAACACGAGACTGACTCCCTGTGAATGCCGTTCAGGGCCTGTCGATAAGCTGACGGGTCCAGAGGTGGTTTAATGAATCTCTGGACTTCGTCTCCCAGTTCGTAGAGATGTCTCCGGACGTGCCTGGGCGAGGGCTCTTCTGCAAGCAGTTGCCTATTAGGGGGATCACGTCTATGGCTCCCAACAAGAAACTGCTTGCAGAGCATTGTGTTGTGCTCCTTGACCGGGAGCAATTTCGCCTCGTCATGCAGGTGGTGTTCTGGCGACATCAGAAGGCATCCAGTCGTTGTCCTTAGTGCGGCGACCTAGTCCCCGGCGACCACACTGGTGCTGCGTAATTTAAAACCGGCCGGCCTATTGCCTTGTATGTTGCCAACAACGTTTCTTCGTCCTTGCCCCAAGTACTGCCGGCTAGCGACTTGAGGACCTTGTTGCGGCTCTGTACTTTGTTGACAATAGCGGTCGCGAGCGCAGAGAAGGAGAGCAGATTGTCGAAGGTTACTCCGAGTATTTTTGGGGTTTTTCACGGTCGGAATTGGTTTATCATCGTCGTGAATCCCCAGCGGTAGCCTGACCTCCTTCGTCCACAGAGTCCGCCAGGGTAACTCAACACAAACACAACTGCACCACAACACATTACAATAGACAATACTATTGACACAACAGACCACACCACCGATACAACTGCACCACCACCCACACGCCAAAGCCAACAGCTCCTAGTTCCTCCGCCAATCTGCACACAGTAGAGGGGACAGGACACCACCCTGTGTTACCCCCTGTTTAATTTTACGTAGCTTGCTGGTTTTGTCTGAAAATTATGGACGAGTGTCGACCACTTAGGTAATTCGCTGACCACCGTTTGAGTCCCTGTGGGAGTGAGGAGGCCTCTATGTCTTCTAGCAGCAATGAATGACCGACAGTGTCCGACGCTTTGGACAGGTCCAACGTTAAATATTTCGAGCTCAACATCGCCTGACCGGATAGCAATACCCGATGTCTGCTTCAATAAGACGATACTGCACGGTGTGGTGCGTGATGAACCATAAGCCTCCACCATTATCTCGCTCCCGATCTCGACGGTGCATGTTGTATCCGGCGCAATTCAACAAGGTTGAATTGCCGTGCAACTTCGACCCTTGGACCGCAGCTATTAATTTCCATGCCTTCCCATGAAGACAGTTATCTCCTCGAACTTGCTCTGGAGTCCGTTACAGTTGAATTGCAGCACCTTTGTGTGCCGTGGGAGACCAATTGTGATATGTTTAGTTTTTTTTTTTTTTTTTTTACTATATTTGTACAATAAATAAATATTCTACAAATACATTACGATTCGCAGCACTGGCGACGAAGGCCCTCAGCTGTCCTTTGCATCTTATTCGAATGAGATTATATGTGTCTTTGCATATTGCTTTATACTATTATGTGTTATATTCGTCTGAGCAGGTCTACCTCTTTGAGAAAATTATATATTAGTTGTACATTTCTATAGGTTGGGTTTTTGAGTAACTCGATGGGGTCGGCAGAGTTCAGGATGGCTTGTCGGGGTGTAGTGATTGTTGGACATCGTAAAATATGTGTTAGCGAAGATGCTTCCTCGCAGAATGGGCAATTTTCGATGGGGCTTCGTTGTAGTAAATAGGAGTGGGTAACAATTGTATGCCCAAGACGCAGGCGGGTGAAGGGTCTTAACGCACGTAGTGGTATATTTGGATCGTAGACCATCATCTTTCTGCATGGGTTGATTGCTGAGTAGTGATGGACGTACATTCCCCAATCGTCGATTAGTGACTTCAGTCTTAGCCTGGTAGCTTCAGCTCGAATGTCTTGCTTAGATACGGAGTCATACATAAGTGAGGGAGTGATGGCGATGTTCTTGGCTGCGGCATCAGCGTGTTCATTTCCCGAAATTCCAACATGCCCGGGGATCCACATAAGTTTTATTTTGTTAGGGCAGTGTAGTAGTATGTTGCGGATGTTAACTATTGCGTTTTGAGTGTTGGATGGTGATTCGACGGCGTTGATGCACGATTGACTGTCTGTACAAATGACGAATTTGCCTTTATTCATCTTGGCATAGATGACTGCTTCGAGTACAGCGGTGGTTTCCGCCGTGAACACCGAGCAAATAGAATGAAGTATACCGTGTTTGATTATGTTTCCGCAATGTGTTACTACTGCAAAGGAGGTGTTGTTTTCAGTCTTGGACCCGTCACTGTATACGAATTTCCAACCAAGGTTTTGATATTTCTCTTTTTCCGCAGCGAAGAGATTTGTATACTTCTCCTTTGGAGTACTTGCTTTGGGAAGAAGCAGAGCTTTGATGATTGACTTGGCGTTGTTTATCAACCAATGCGGGTGTGCTTCTATAGCTTGAGGCTTTTTATTGATGGGTATCTGAAGATCCTTTGCAAATTCTAAAGATTTTAGCATTGCCGATTTGCACCTGGGCTGCCGTTTTCTTGTTAACATTTTTTGGACATTTTCGGAAAGAATGGAGTTAGAGGTGTACAGCAGTTTTGGTAGGAGTCGGCGTGTAGTGTCGGTTGTTCTGTCTGAAATTGTTGGTAAGCCTGTTTCAGCGTACAAGTTTTTCAATGGGGTTGTAGGGAAGGCTCTGATACTCCTGCGCATTGCGGCGTGGTACGGTGCTGACAGCTTGTTGAGTGTAGCTTTTGGGCTTTTACCGTAAATAGGAAGGGCGTAATCAATTTTGGATAGGATTAGCGCTTTTGTAATGTTTATTAGCGTGGTAGGGTGTACGAAGCTTTTCTTTGATGCAAGGTATTTGATTATGTTTAGACTATTTGAAATGCGCTCTCTTAGTTGAGTACAGTGTGGCTTGAAGTTGTATTTGGAGTCTAAAATCAGTCCAAGAACTTTGAGTTCTTGTACCGAACTTATAGTATCATTGGAAACGCCGGGACAATTCTGTTTCCGGCAAATATGTAAAAATTTTGGTTTTTCCAGTAGCAATTGTGGTGCCAGAGACCAGAGACCATGAATTTATTTTCGAAAGTATGCTATCAAAAGTTTCCTCTACAAACGTGATGTCAGAATATGTGTAGTTAAGGAGTTGTGTTGCCTGCCGGGTGCTGCCTTTTGGTGGTGGTTGGCGGCGTCGCGGGGGAGGGCAGCACAGCAGGGGCCCACATAGTCACTCGTCCAATCACGCGTGTTGCGAAGCCCTGAGCATGCCCTAAAGTGGCACCAGTCAAGGCAGGAGTTGCACTTGACTGATGTCACATTACGGTATATTCTGGACTGACAAACCGAGCAGATTGTCGGAGGGACTAGGAGTTACCGGCGGCGGTGTGTGGGTGCTATTGTGTTTGTTTGTGTGTATATTGTTGTGTTGTGTTGGGGTGTGAAATCCAGGTGGACATAGTGAAGGCGAAGGTCTCCTCTGCAATTGGGCCGACGGAAGTAGCATATCGGCGAAGACAAGAAACGTTGCTGGCAACCTTACAAGGAAATTGGCTGGCCGGTTCTAAACTATGCAGCCTCGTGCTCACCGGGGACTAGCAGGTCATAGTGGACGAAGCTACAGATTTGCCAAAACATGGCTCTCCGGACAGTCACCGGATGCCTTCTGATGTCGCCACAGCAGTGCCCACACACTTGGGAAGTCACACATAAAAACTAACGGACATAGTCCAGAAGTTCATAAAACAACCTCTGGACCTGATAGCGTACCGACAGGCCATAAACGGCATTCACAGGGAGTTGATCTCGACCTACACCGACTCCATATTTCTGAATGACGTCCTGGAACACAGCCATTTGACGCGGACGAGACAGTTTCCTTTCCTCGAGGAACGCGCAGTACCATAGCCAAACTTCGCTCCGGATACTTAATAATCATTGATAGTANGTTGGCAACACAGCCATTTGACGCGGACGAGACAGTTTCCTTTCCTCGAGGAACTCGCAGTACCATAGCCAAACTTCGCTCCGGATACTTAATAATCATTGATAGTAGCCCTAGTCTAACTATTAATTTTTCTTATTCATATCTTATTCACACAGGTTTTGAAACTGCTCGAAGATAAAAATTCATATCAAGTAACAGCGAAGGAAGCCTTACGTAAAGTTTACCAAGAGCGATGCGACGCTTTGCAAATGCTCTCGAAAATGGAATTGGCGTATGCCAATTCCGATGGCGAATGTAAAATTTTGCGCGATCAAATTATGAGTACGAAACAGTCGCTACAGGACGTTAACACACGTTTGCAGCGCCTCGAAACCGATTACAATGAATATAAAGAGGAAGCCGAACGTAAACAACAGGAGATTAAAGAACAAGAGGAGCAGCGTATTGCAGATATATCAGAGAAATTGCAACAGCGTGAATTAGAGTGCGACGATTTGCGTCGCCGTGTGTCTGAATTCATGCTACAGCATGCTGAGTTGGTGGATGATGAGGAAAAAAAATTGCAGTTACAGGCCATTGAGAAGCTAGATGCTGTAATAGGCGACATGGATTTGGGAGAGGATGACGACGATGAAGACGAGAACGAGAACGAAGCGAAAGGGGACGAGGGTGATATTAAAAGTAAGGAAGATGGCAACGAAAAAGAATGTGCCAAAAATTATTTGCATCAGCCGAGAGTCACAAAAAGTTTAGATGCAATGAATGGAGTGGACACGAAAATCCTGATTAGCAGCGCCGAAAAAGAGGTAATTAAATATCAGATATATATGTATATACATATATATAAATCGTAAGATTTAAGATAACCGCTAGCATGATTGCTGATTTGAGTTGTAACACTGCCTTGTTGAAGAAGAAGTCAATTCAGGTAAATTGCTTGCTTTTAAAGATTACGAAGCTCGTTATGCTTCTTCGCAAATGCCATACATTTTATACATACATTTGTTGTTTTAAATATACTTTCGTGGCAGATGTCTAACGTTTTTTTCTATTGCAATTTAGGTTTTAAACACTTCATCTCAATCGGATGTTGCCCTAAAGAAAATCAAGCAAAAAGGTAACGCTAAGGAATCGACGATTCTCAAATGGCTGCAAAATTCCGATCTGAATCAAAAGGAAGGTTCCTTCGACATTTTCAAAGCCATTTGTAATGAGTCTGATTCGAGCGATGAACATGATCTTCCAGTGAATGAAAATGATGCCGTGAACGTTGACAGTGAAAGCGGTATTGATACGAATACTACCTCACTCGAGGAGATTAAGCTAAAATACAAGAAATCCAAAAATAAATTGCAAAGCGTACAAGCTATACTATGTCAATTGGTAGAAGCAGAAATGGCGAAAGAGTGCTATAAATCAACAGGTGCTGATGTAACTGAGCACATCGATGCAGAAAATGAAAATGAGGCTTTAAAATTCTCACGAAAAGAGGACGAATGCACTTCGAAAAATGATGACCAGAGGTTGGCTTTGCTACAATCCAGTGTAACGATTCTTAATGAGGCGTACAAAGAACTCTGCGATAGCCTTACTGAGCAANGCAAAGCGTACAAGCTATACTATGTCAATTGGTAGAGGCAGAAATGGCGAAAGAGTGCTATAAATCAACAGGTGCTGATGTAACTGAGCACATCGATGCAGAAAATGAAAATGAGGCTTTAAAATTGTCACGAAAAGAGGACGAATGCACTTCGAAAAATGATGAGCAGAGGTTGGCTTTGCTAAAATCCAGTGTAGCGATTCTTAATGAGGCGTACAAAGAACTCTGCGATAGCCTTACTGAGCAAGAGCTACACAAATCATTAGCAGCGGACATAAAAGAGATATCACCGCCACCGACAATAACTGTACAAACACAATTGCAAAACAATGCGCCATCTAAAACAGGTGGCAGTGCCACAAGCAAACTGCTCTCACAGGATACCCTGAAGCCGCTTACAGAGGCTGTTGAGGATGAAGCGGCATTATACGACTTGGATGAGAATAATCTGTCAACGGCAAAGGCATCAAAAAATGATGAATGCACCACTACAGTGACCACACCTTCGACAATCGTTTCACCAGGCGATGTAGCGGATAGAGAAATGAGTATAAGCGATGAAGTGCGCGCATATCAGGATCAAATAAAAGAGCTTAATCTAAAGCTTGAACAAGTGGAGAGTGATGCACAAAATACGCTAGAGATAATGCAAATTGAATGTGACACTTTCAAGGAGAAGGTAACTCAATTGTCCAAAGTAGTTCAAAAAGCGTGCGAAGAGAAAAAGGAACTTGAAAGGTTGCTTGATGAGCGGACCAGTATGGAGAAAACAGTTATGCCGGCAGAACAAATTAATGATAGAAATGAACAACAAATGGATGCGGTCATCAAATTACCACTGAGTGCGCCATCATTGCCTTTGGCTAGCGAAACGAAAAATGAGTTTGAGCTGCATGAGAGCTTCGATGATGAATTGCTGTCCTCGGATAACAAAAGTGTTGCTGGTGGCAAAATGGATGCCGATTTCGAAACGCAATTGCGTGAAGACTTAGCGGCCATAAATAGTACTGCACTGCAGCGGGAGGAGGAGCTGATTGTGTACAAAGAACGACTGGAGAAGACGCAAAACGATAATCTGCAGTTACGCAACGACATAGCGGCACTGCTACTGAAATCGGGCACACAGGCTCAAACGCATATGGTGAAGCAAATGCTGGCGTACGGCACAGCAGTATTGGCTATCATTGTTTACTTATTTACAATGTATTTCTAAGTGCTGCTGTTTAATCTATGTTTATGTCGTAAGCAAATCCAAACGAGGAACGGAGAGATATATACAATACGACGGAGTGGGAGCATGTGAAAGCTAAATTAGATAAAACTAGAACCAAGCGAACGAATACAGCGAAAATACAGCGAGAGTTAGCAAAATATTGTTATTAAAAGTTGGTGCACAGTGTAAATTCATTCGCTACAATGGTCACACGAGATAAAATGGCTGCCATGACATAAGGATTTAAAGCTTTTTAAAATCTTAGAGCCAAACANAAGTAGGAAAATACAGCGAGAGTTAGCAAAATATTGTTATTAAAAGTTGGTGCACAGTGTAAATTCATTCGCTACAATGGTCACACGAGATAAAAAGGCTGCCATGACATAAGGATTTAAAGCTTTTTAAAATCTTAGAGCCAAACATAATCTGTCTCATAGATAACGGGTTGGTTCACTATTTCGACATATCGAATTTTCCCAATCATCAACATAGCGATGTTTTTAATTATTAAAAGGCAACTAACAGGCTTAAGGTCCGATCGATATTTTCCTGCCAAGTGCTCGTTCTGCCTACATTGCGCCACACACACATCAACCGAAAAAATCTTATTATATGGGAAAAATTAGATTCATTTAAAAAAAATGTAGATATTAGCGACCTTTTAGTTTGTAAAAATATTTAAATTGCCACAAAAATTATTATTACTAAGGTAAACGCAGTAAGCAACAATCGCATAACAAACCAATTCATACGAACAAATAAAGCTTAATAAAAACAAAACAATATATATAAAAAATAATGTACAACTTAAATTATAAATGAAAAGCGAACACAAAGAGCATAGCTAAACGCCAAGAAAATGTATCTCTATTAACGTANAAACAAATAAAGCTTAATAAAAACAAAACAATATATATAAAAAATAATGTACAACTTAAATTATAAATGAAAAGCAAACACAAAGAGCATAGCTAAACGCCAAGAAAATGTATCTCTATTAACGTACGTACATGCGTATATAATTCAATAAAACAAAAAAAAAAAAAACGTGTGTGCTAAAAAGAACATGTATTAAACTGTATGTATGTGTGCATTTAAATTTATTGTGGCGATATTNTGTGTGCATTTAAATTTAGTGTGGCGATATTTCCAAAAACAAGCAAATCAAAAAGTAAATACTTCTTAAACAAACATAGACATTTGAGCCTCACACTCATCTCTGCTGCTAGCCGGGCTGTTGTTACCTAGTTGTTATTGCATACCAGTGCATTGCATCTAAGCGAATGCTGCATTTGTTTAAAGTTATATTTAAATTATTGCATACGTAGACACACAAAATATAAATTATGAATATAAACAAATATAGCAAACACGCGTACATTGTATAGGAACACGTATTAGAAATGCTATAATGAAATCGTAACACAATCACAAAATATTTGTATGTATGCTTATTCTATTGCTTTATGGCGCTTATTTAACATTTGCATTCATACTCGTATGTATTTAAAGAAAAAAACTTAATATCACTACAATTGGCCACGCCTTTAATTATAATGATAACTGATTACATTTCAATTTATTTTCGACAAAAAATTGTGGTGGTAATATAAACAATATTCAAACTTTTTTCTATTTCTTTTACACTTTTCTTCATTTGCTAATTTAAAATTGCTAAAAATTCATTAAATTTCGAAGTCCAACTCTCGCTCCGTAAGATCAATTTTTTTATTTTCCAAAAACAAAAATATATACTACATATGTATGTCGTATAAGCATTGGTCAATCGCTTTTAAGATGCTTCATTAAAAGCTGCTGTTTTGTTAACAAATTTTAGACTGTTTCACACCCATTCAAAATGTGTGTGTGTGTGCAGCAGTGTGTGTTCTATACTAATTACTGAAGATTATTATTTCCTGCTATTATCAATTACTATTATTTAAATTGTTAGATTTTAGTTAAAATTTTTATTATTATTTGTAATATTATTTTATATAAAAACAAGGAAATATGCAATTCAAGTGAAATATGTATACAAAATTATTTGAAATTTATTTTGTAAATTATATAGTATATATTTATATATGCTATTTAATGTGAAAACGCGCTTAGCCGTAAGACGTGTGTCTTTTTGAAAACGAAAAACGAAAAATATGTAGAAGTTAATGAAATCACGAATAAAAATTATTAAAATTCTTGTATGACACAGCCTGATTTGAGTAGTCCACTTGAAAACAGCGTTATGTGATTTTATAATAGTAAGTCATAAATTAAAAAAAAAACGACTACGACAACAAGTCACTTTTATATTGAATATTTTTTTTATTACCTGAAAACTTGGATATATAAGAGCCTAATAACATTACAATATAACATAACATAACATTAACTGTCTATACGACCTAAAGCAGTTTTCTAAGTTCATCAGAAGATGGTGACTTTTGAAAGGGTATAAATAAGTATGATAGCGACTGATGAGTAGTTAACATTTGATGCCATTTTTTCAGAATATAGAAAGATTTTTCACTGTGTTGTCAGTGGACATGAAACTACTTTAAATACTGGTACATTACCCACCAAAAACTAAAAATCGAAAAAATTTTACATAGCGCACTTTGCAAGTGTACTACTCATTTGTCATTTCTACTTGTGCATGTACATATGTATGCGCATATATGTACATCAACTTAACGAGCTTACTTCGAATTTACCAGACAAAACGACTGAAGAAATCAGGAAGATTTAGCGACAAAATTGTCTAGGGGTTACATAACTACGAGTGCATGCCAAACGGTAGACAGTATACATATCATACCATACATACCGTAGAACGTATATACATATGTAGACCACCCGTCCATGCCTCCTAAANAGCGCACTTTGCAAGTGTACTACTCATTTGTCATTTCTACTTGTGCATGTACATATGTATGCGCATATATGTACATCAACTTAACGAGCTTACTTCGAATTTACCAGACAAAACGACTGAAGAAATCAGGAAGATTGGATGAAGGACATCCTTAGCGACAAAATTGTCTAGGGGTTACATAACTACGAGTGCATGCCAAACGGTAGACAGTATACATATCATACCATACATACCGTAGAACGTATATACATATGTAGACCACCCGTCCATGCCTCCTAAAATGGGGGAAAATGTTTTTTTATTGAAAAACGTTAAAATATTACCTATCAAATCGGGGATGATTTCTTTTGGTGTTATTACCGATTTCCGGTTTCGACCGAAAGAGAGGGTTAAGTTGACCGGTTGTCCATTTTTTTTAGACACATGTTTTTATAAGAGATTCGGATTCTGTGGATAAAAATACGTAACTTCTATTTGAAACTGTTTTCTCGGAAGTGCTTTTTTCAACCTCTAAATGACGTTCGAACTTCAACTTCTCCTGGACTTCGTAAATGGGGGAAAATGTGTTTATTAGAAAACGAAAAATATGAATTGCCAAGGCTCTATCTTTTGGTCGTATTACCGACTTCCGCTTTCAAAGTTATGTATTTTTGTTCGCAGAATCCGAATCTGTGGTAAAAGTATGTATGTCCTTTTAAAAAAATGGATTTCCGGTCAGTTTAACCTACTTTCGGTTGAAACCGGAAGTCGGTAATACGAAGAACCGAAAAAGAGTTGCGGAAGAACCGAAACTGGATTCCAAAAGATTCGAAAAACGGTTCCAAAAGAATTAGAAAATGATCTCAAAATAACAGAAAAAATAAGATGACATTTTTGGATACAAAATATGAACAAAAAGGGAAATCGTTTTCTGAACGTTTCCGGATACGAAAAATTTATGAAAACCGCACTGTCGCCAAAAAGCATGATTCAATAATATCAGTTTTCTCGTTTCCTCTTGACAAAAGGGAGAATCAAAACTCTAATGTCACTAGTGAGCATGCCGTTGAAGGCCTGTTGGTAAGCTGACGGGTCCAGAGGTTGTTTGATGAACCTCTGGACTTCGTCCGTCAGTTCGTAGAGATGCCTCCGAACGTGTCTTGGCGAGGGCTCTTCTGCAAGCATATTTTTTTGCATGCATTTTTTTGATGTGGCATTTTAGGCGACAAACCGTCAAATAGCTGAAAAAGAAAACACAAAAACAAAATAATTCCGCTTTGGCTTAAATTGACGTGTTGAGTAATTATTCATGATATCTTATGGTAAGTTAAATTAAATTAAGTCTAGACTAACTTGGCTTCTACGGGGCTATTAATTTAAAAATTCTGAGTAACCCTGTTTCATTAGGGTGTGTGAATACCATTCACAAATTTTCTATTCTTCTTCTTATCCAGCGGCAAGTACTTTTTACGATGCCCTGTCATCGGTTCGATTGTGAGCTATCAGTTTCGTTTTTTTCTCTGATGTGTGCGAGTGATTGCTACGGCGGATTGGCAACATAATTTTTAAATTTGTGAATTTTATGTTACAACCACCCAATGGAACAATAAATCTTTGTGCAATAGATTTGGTGTTGGACTGAAATTGATAAGAGGAAAAACAGCATATAAAATCTATGCCTAGTGTATTTGCAGCTTATGGGCGTGTGAACAGCCAACCTGCCTTCGTTTTTGTTAGTGCGTATGTGTGTGTTTGCATGGACTTTAAAGTTAATGAAAAGCAGTAAATTCATTTGAATGCAGTAATTGCGGATGTTTCGCAATATAATTGAAAGTAAAATCCAAAGTCGATAAACATTTGTTCTGTGGAAAATATATGTAGTTATCAATTTTAATACTAATTCGACAAGCAATTGCATTTGGAATTCAAGTGGGAGGGGAAGTAGTATTCCGGGACAGCCGATAGAAAAGTAGTGTAAAGAGGTAGAGCAGTAACCAGCGCATAAGTACATTTTTGAGTTCAAGGGTTGCCAAACTAAGGTATACAGGATTGATGTAATCAATTAGATTTTCTATAAAATTTATTTATTTCGCGAGAAAAGCCATTTTATTTTGGTGAAAAGAATTTTCAGAAATAACTGAGTTCAGGTTTACAAACTTTGCAGTACAATTTTCCTATATGGCCGATTGTTAAAGGGACGTTTGACTAAGGGTCAGGTGGAGAGGCACCTCCCACTCCCCATTTTAGAAATGCCCCCTCTAATACTACCACGCACATAAATACAGCCGGGAAGCTTGGGACCCNCTTTCGAGTTCAAGGGTTGCCAAAGTAAGGTATACAGGATTGATGTAATCAATTATTAGATTTTCTATAAAATTTATTTATTTCGCGAGAAAAGCCATTTTATTTTGGGGAAAAGAATTTTCAGAAATAACTGAGTTCAGGTTTACAAACTTTGCAGTACAATTTTCCTATATGGCCGATTGTTAAAGGGACGTTTGACTAAGGGTGAGGCGGAGTGGCACCTCCCACTCCCCATTTTAGACAAGCCCCCTCTAATACTACCACGCACATAAATACAGCCGGGAAGCTTGGGACCCGGGGAGGGGCCTTAGAAAAATTGCCACAAATGATAATTTTCACTTGCGTTTTCCCGCTTGAAAAAGGCTACCCTCTTCTGGGCAATACCCCTCTTCTGGGCAATACAGAAAATAGAATTCTACTTAGTAAGGGTTTTAACCCTCAGCTCGGCCGAAGGCAGCCTACGCAGAAAGGAATTCTACGAAAAAATACTGTGGTTGCAATTGAAAATTGTGACTTTTTGCCATATTTCTAAGGGCTCTCTAGGGCAATGTTTTCGTATTCTCTTGGATATACATATGTAATGAAGTTTCTGTGGCTTTTTCGGTAATAGCAAATTTGTGTTTCACTGGATAAAATTTAATAAAAATGCAATGAATAGTTCGGACATTTAAGAAGCGGTGCATTTTTAGTTTTCCTTGCCTTTTACATCAAAAAGTAACGCTTAATAAGAAACTAGTAATGTATATATATAAATGTTGCTCAACATCATTGGCTAAGATTTGTTTAAGTTTCTAAACACTGCTGTAATTCATAAATATTGTATTATTATAGATATTTCAAGTGTTCAATTGTAAAGAGATACATAAATGTATTATAATAATTGGCTTATCAAAAATAACCCTACAAAAAGTTAACTGTTACTTAAGTTCAGCATAGAAAATTCTTAACATTTACATACATACTTACATACATATGTACATACTATATGTATATACATATTCGTTAAATTAGCAAAAATAAAATAAAAACGGATTAACAATAAACGACGACGAATACACAACGACAACGGCGGCAACTAACATCTTGCAAGCGACCAATATCAATTTCCGCTTACGTCGGTGAAAAACTAATCAATGAGGTAAGTAAGAGTTTACAACTTCAAAAAGCAAAAACAAGAAATAAATATAAATAGCTCCCCTGTTAACAATTCTTATCATTTCATACATTTACATCTGTACGCATAGTAATAAAATTGGAGAAAGTTTCACTCTTTCCTAAATGTTTTACATATGGCCGATTCCAGCGAAGATAGATCGATCGAGATATTTTGAAAAACCGTATTTATGCTCTGATTTGCTTCACATTTGNGTCTACCGCAAAAAATTAAAGTCCTTGTAGGCCGATTTGGCTGCTTTTTATAATACATACTGTTATGTAAGCAGAGCCATTTTTGCCAAAAATAGCCTCGTTAGGTGGCGTCAGGGTCGAGATATTTTGAAAAACCGTATTTATGCTCTGATTTGCTTCACATTTGGCATGCTTAGTTGAAAATAAGATGTCAAAATAAAAAGAATATTCGACATAAAATGCGTTTTTCTTCCCGTTCACAATTCTAATCGTAATTTTAGTAACGCAACGTCATGTAACGTCACGCCAGATACTTCAGCTGATTAAACAAAAAGCAGAAAAGAGTTTTGCAACTCAAGAGTTTTTGCTCAAGTTAAAATCCATTTGTTTTTCGTAACGTCACGCCATCGCTTATGTTTACTAATACCACGACAGTCGGGTCTACGTAACCGGACGACCCAGATTTATATCTGGCCAAGGACTGTCACTCCAGCAACACTCCCCAAAAACCCTTTGGGGAACTTGTATGCTTCTACAACAACAACAACAACTAATACCTTTAAATCGCTAAAACCAACAGTTTTAGTTTTTTTTTTACTGAAGGGCAGTTTAATTGCAATGCAAATCTAGAAAAAACTTTTTAAAATATTTTATTTTTAACATTTTGTCATATATTAATATGGGTCTTTCTATAATTTATGTACATATGTATGTATAATTTTTTCCCAAATATAAACAAAAGTTGTTTTGAGCCAGAATGCCATTGGAGATGGGGTTTTATAAGTTGGAAATTCTTGGATGTTAAAAAATTTAACAATTTCTTAAATTCATCCACCGGTACCAGGCCACTTAAAAAGTTGGTTTTGGCTGATGCACAGTGTAGGAACTACATATTCTAAATGTTTGAACATTTTTACAATGTACAAGAATTAGTGTTACTTGAACTTAATACAAACCTTATTTATTTACCTAACCTAAATATAGCTTGCATGTTTAATTCACACGAGTAGAACCCTAGCAAATCCTCCCAATGTAAATTTTTCTGGTAAAAATTGCCGTTAACAGCTAACGAGGTTTTAATTTTTTCTGTAGTTTACAAAAACAGGAATGTTTTTAGTCTGGGTTCAGACCGAGAAACTTTTGTCGCAGCAACTCGTTACTTGTGTGAGAAAAAGTGACGAGGAACGGCACCGAGCTTCGTCTGAGTAATTCTATTCTAGTTGGCTGTTCTTAGCTGACAACAACAATCGTCAACACCAAAAGAGAAGTTGTCGAAAATGAGCAACAAAAGTTTCTGTGTGTGAACCCAGTCTAACGCTACATTAAATTTCAAAGTTTCTGTATTCTTTGCACACTCTGTGAATATACATACATATGTAAATTTGTATTTTAACCGACTTTTTAAATAGCTCATACGAATAAAGAATTAAGATTTTGCAAAGATATGAGACGCATCGCAAATTATCGTTTTGGTTACTTCTGTGCGAAACCTTTCACTGAGCATATTTAGTTATAAGAAGACAACGACTGAGATACCAACCGTCCTGGGCGGGGTTGTTGTAGCCGCTACAACAANTAAGAAGACAACGACTGAGATACCGACCGTCCTGGGCGGGGTTGTTGTAGCCGCTACAACAACAACAACATAAGAAGAATAAATAAAGTGGCTGTTAGACGAGGTAAGCAGGGCTGCCAGCTTGGCTCAAACCGTGCCATTTTTGGTCATTTTTTACTTCAAATGGCACTTAATTTTTCAATTTGGCACAAAGTGCCAAAATGGCACTTTTGAAAAATAATAATATTTCAATACATTTTTTTGAAATCCTTTGCCTCAACTGAAATTTTCTAATTTCTATAGTGTATACAACTGGTTTATCTTACTTTGGCATTGGACTTTTGTTTTAGGAATATGTTTCTATTGTTAATGCGAAATGGGAAGAATTAAAAAGAATGTCACCTCTTTTGGCTCTTTTATTTTTTCTATTTGGCACATTTTGGCAACTTTCTATCCTCAATATGGCACTTTATAGCTAAGAATAGTTGGTAGCCCTGGTGGTAAGTGCAGATCCTTTTCAAAAGTCTGTCAAGCTCAAGAATTTCCAAACGGGTATCCTTTTTCAGTATAGAACAATCCCAGGAGGTCACGGCATTAAAATTCCGACTTTGCTGTTTTTGGACGACCCTAGTGTACATANTCTATTGTCAATGCGAAATGGGAAGAATTAAAAAGAATGTCACCTCTTTTGGCACTTTTATTTTTTCTATTTGGCACATTTTGGCAACTTTCTATCCTCAATATGGCACTTTATAGCTAAGAATAGTTGGTAGCCATGGTGGCAAGTGCAGATCCTTTTCAAAAGTCTGTCAAGCTCAAGAATTTCCAAACGGGTATCCTTTTTCAGTATAGAACAATCCCAGGAGGTCGCGGCATTAAAATTCCGACTTTGCTGTTTTTGGACGACCCTAGTGTACATACATGCATACATTACTGCATATTTAAAAAATTCCAATTAATTTTATTCAAATTCCAATTTTCTTGTTTTATGTGCATATCGCTAGCTTAGAGTGCAAAGTTGCCAAGTCCATTTTTTTTTTAATTCTATAGGAGAGGAAAAAAACTTCTTATAGCCATTTTCTTCAAGTATTTTATAAATGTTTTGGCGTGTTTAAAGCAAAGCAAACCTCCATAAGAGTAAGAAGGATTCGATCTTTATTGAAAGATTTCGTTGTATTTTAGTTTTGTCGGATTTTCGGTGCCTTCTTTGGACTTAGCAAATTTTCCTTTTATTGAATATAAACGAGAAAAAATAAAAAAAGTGCTTTAATCCTTTTTGAAACCCTTGCTCCTATATCAAAATTTGAGTTTTCAAAAAAAGTAGACTTTTACACCCCTATTCTGCAACTCTTTTGTATTCGGATTTTGCAACGAATCGTAGAAATGGCATGCCTAAAAACGAACGAGTAAGCTTTTTTGCGTAATTTTGTACGAAAACAATTCTGTGTCGGAGGCGAAATCGATGTGTGTTTGCAAGAAATATTGGTGGTGTTCATTTAAACAGATAAATTTGCCTTTCGCATATACGTATATTTATTTTTATCCACTGCTTTATATAAACGAGCAAAGAAGAATATTTGTTGCCCCTTATCGAGAAACTTGGGTCCGGTTTAGTTATTTGTACAACGATTTTCGGTTGTTGTGTCCAAAGGCATAGCCCAAATTCAAAAACTTTAACATACACGTGTAATCAAAGGATTCACATTTTATTTAACATAAATGTTTCAAATTTCTTACCACTAGCTTATTAATAAACTCGGTTTGCACTATGCACTTTTTTGTAAATTTCGACGTGGGTTCTGCGAAAAAATACTGTGGACGGCGTAGCCGGAGTGATATGCACAAGATATGTTGTATACCTTTGACACGCGGAAGCTCTTCCATGCAACACAGAAAGGATAATTCTACTTAGTAAGGGTTATAATCCCTAAGCGCGGCCGAAGGCAGAAGCAAGCGCAACAGGTGGCGGACCTAACAAAGTGAATGTTTTCAATGGCTTGGAAGAAGCTGTTATTGCATTAACTGGATTGAGAACCAGAGCTTCAGGCATAGGAGAGTTCTGGCTGTGGTTCAACAATTCAACCAGAAGCTGACATAGATGCGCCCATGGTTACTATGCCCACAGCTCCGCATACCTTTGTGAATCCATTGCCATAGCGCCCGCTTACTCTGCTCTATAATTGCAAATACATCAGAATCCATAATTTTCCTCGAAATATGTAAAATTAACCAATTTTACAATAAACAAGCACATGATGGATGTTTTTTTTAATTCCCTTCCACTTTGTTTTCCTTCATTCAGCTATCTTCGAAAAACAACTGATAGCTGGCAATGCTGCACATGTTTCCGCAAGGGTTGCAGCATGTGGATTTTTCGTTTTTCGTAGCGTAGCTACGAATTACGAACTACGAAAATTCGGTTCTTTTCACTCTAAGGCTTTCTGCACATTGGACGTCCAATCATAGTAAGTTCATCGTCACAATCATGATGCAACGATTACATACGACTACATTTTCGCACACTCGGTCGTGATATTTCAATTCATTTGGCGTCTAAAAATTGACTTGGAGCAGGTATTTTCTGTTTTTCTGGTTGATATTTTCGCGAAATATTTACAAAAACCTGCAATTTTTAAAATATGGACTGTGCTGCAACAATTCTAGAAATAAATTTTCAGTAATATCCCTTCTTTTCTTTTCCTTAAATGTATTTTGTGCATGCACACATAGCATTTTTACAATGTCGTCATGTTTTATAGTTAAAACGCTCACATTTATTGAATTTTATTACAATTATCCACTTTTTAATAATTTCGACAGATTTTATGCCAAAGACACTAATTTTTATGCAATTTTAATGCAAATATTAACTTTTTCACAAATTTTTCCCCATAAAATGTAAACAAGCAATGCGTGCACAACGATTAGCAAACGACAGTTCCGAACTTATCCGTTTCTGCATCTTCTATGATTTGCCGATAACTAGCCGAAAAAGACAAGTGTGCAGATCTCCTTTGAAATGCATGTGCTCGGGCCAAAATATCAGGGCGAGACGATAACGCAACTATGATTGGACGACAAGTGTGCAGATAGCCTAAGCTAGCGATATAGTCTATGTACATACGTACATATGTACGCTTGTGCTATTTAGCACTAATGAAAATATATGTACTATCTATTTATTGTACGTATGCATGTATGTACAGCTGCGTGCAGTTAATTAGAAGCGAGGTTGT